GTAATAGTGCAGTGCCCGCCTCACACAACTACGTGTAGGATCCATGGCAGGAGGCCACCATCTTTCACATTCTGCTTCTGCACTCATAGAACAACAGCCTGATTAAAGCAGGGAGCCTGGTTCAAATGCTGGCTTGTTTACGCTTCCTGGAGCTTCACAATTGTGTTAGAACACGACAGCACTGGCTGGGCTTTAGTGAGATGCTGATCAAAGGCAAGAGAGCACTAGATGGAACGACAGCCTACATCCAGAGACAGAGCTGCAGGTGGGCTTTTAGGAGATACCGTCTGGAGCTAACTTAGCGCAACACACACGTCCTGCCACCCCACTGGTGGTGCTCTTCCTCTTCATCTCCACGAAGGAACGTGATCCTAATCATGTTATTTTATAACATTAAAAAAAGCTCAATTGATCTACTTCCCCCATAAACGGAGAATCTTAATCTTCCAGCCTACTCACATTTCCCAGGGACAATTCTGAACTTTCAACAAAAGGAGACAAAATAAGGAATTAAGGATATTAGATTCTTACAAGGACAATGCCACAGAACTCCACAAAATGAAGCTTTATTCAAGCAGTTTCCACTGCAAGACTGCAGAGCGCAGACAAGAGCATTTGGCCACAAAACCAACAGTGGGCAGGGGCATTGAGAGGCACAGGAAAGGGCGCAGATATAATTTAACAATGAAGAAATACAGGGAGGCCCAGAGACAGAATCCCAGAACCACAGGGTTAAAACAAGGGTCAGCTACTCTAACACCCTGCCACCAAGCAAAGTTTGTTGTGGCCTCCTTTGAAACTTCCAGTGAAGGCGTTTCCATGACTGCCCTAAGCAGTCTGTTCTGTTGGCCCGCTGTTCATACAGGTCAGCACTACATTTGCTGTGCTGTAGTTTGAACCCACCGCCTCTTGTCTGCCCTCTGAGGTGACAACCTTATCTCCCTCTCTTTTTTACGGCAGCCTTTCAAGTATTTGAAAATCGCCATCCTATCCCCCTTAATTTCTTCTTTTCCAAACTAACCATAACCAGTTTCTTCAGCCTTTGCTCCTCTGGCTACATTCCACGCCTCTGATCCTCTGTGTTGCTTTCCTCTGGATCCTTTCCAGTTTCTATACATCCTTCCTACACAGTGGTGAGCAAAGCTGGACACATACTCCAGGTGATGCTAGCCAGGGCTGAGAAAAGTGGTCCTATCACCTCCCAGGACTTGCATGCTAAGCCTCTGGATAAGGCAACCAAAAATTGCATTTCCTTTTGTTGCAACAGCATTGCATTGCTGACTTGTGCTTGTGATCCAATCCCAGACTCTTCTCAGCAGTGCTGGTGCCATTCTGTATTGGTGCATTTGATTTTCCTTCTCTAAGTGTAGCACCTTACCTTTGACTTTGTATTGTCAGTAGTCCAGTTCTCCAATTTAATGGCATCCCTCAAAATTTTAGCTCTACCCTCCAAAATGTTGGCAACCTCCCTTATCTTTGGGTCAGCTGCAAATTGATCAGTATGCTCTCTGACCAACATCTGGATCATTAATAAAGATTCCTCACAACCCAGATCACTGTGGAACCCTATGACAGGTCAGGGCCCACTTGCCGAGACCCCATGGTGCCTGTTTTCCATGCCAGCTAGGGCCCCCCATACTTGCCTTATTGTGTCAGGCATGCTGGCCTGCCTGCTGTAATACAGATACAGTGTCTGGGCCACGTCCTCAAGCCATAGCCCTTAACTAAAACCAGCCCAGTCAGATACCTGCCTGCAGCACTCAGACATCAGCCCCTCTAGGAGCTGATACCTAGGAAAATCCATCTTATACTGGGCAGAGACCTGTCCCGAGTAAGCTCATGAATTTTGCCCTCTTTCTTGATGTAATGAAAGAGATGCACAGACTCCTTCCTCTCCTGGTAACATTTACACTGGGTTTATTAATCAATACAAGTGATTTATCGAGTATAAAAGACAGGATGTAAGTGGTCATAAGAGACGCAGACAGAACAATGCAGGTTAGTAAGCAATATAAAACAGAACATGCCAGCTAAGCTTAGTACAGGAAGACACTGGCTAATGTAACTGCTCTCCCTCAGAGTTGATCTAATAATCTTCTCAGAGAAGGGAAACCCTTCCCAGCAGGCCCAGTCCTTCCCCCAGTTCAGGCTTGGATGTTTCCAGCAGTCACCCAGGGTGGGGTCACCAGGGAGAACTGGCTGTCCAGATTACCGGTAAGCGGTGCAGCCATGCAGCTGCCTAGTTAGTGCTGCGCAGGTGTTCAAGGCACCTGCCCAAGGTGGGAAGAAGAGCCGCCCTACCCCCAACCTAGCCTGGCCTCCAGCCTGCCATGGCAGGGGAAGGGATGGCCTGCATCTGGCGCCTCTCCTCTGGCCCGAACCCCAAACTGCAACCATGGCCCAGCCCCGGAGTCCCCCAGCCCCGGAGTCCCCCAGCCGTGAGGAGCAGTGTCAATTTAAATGCAAACTAGGTGCAGTTCTCAGCTCCTGACAAGCTGCCAAGGCAGCCCTCAACATAAGATGTAGGCATCCCATGAATCAACGTTCTGGTTCCAGCTGAAGTGGGCCCATGGTGGGGACTCCTCTTACCAGAGCAGACAGGTACCTGCCACAGCCCCAAGGGATGGCAAGTGAACTAGGGAAGCCAACTCTCCAGCATTGTCTTGGAGCCTTCAGGAGTTAATCTTCAACTAAAGATTGTGTCTTGTGCTGAACCCTCCAGGAACTCCTCCTCAACAATCAGAATTAGAGCCCTAACGGGAACACTCTGTGAAAGCGGGGGCAGGGCGGGCCGCAGGAACAAGGGGCCAGCCTTTGTTTTGTCCGAGTGAGGGACCAATGGCTGCCCAAGCACAGTTTAACATCCAAATGCAGCCTCTGCCAGCTATCCTCTGTGACATACCAGGCACAAGCAGGCCAAGTAGCTGGGTCACTTTGGCCTCTGACCTGGGACACCCTTTCCATTGCTTTGTTGCGGTAGCCTCCAGTCTGGACTGCGCACGAATAGCCTCTAGCATGTGAGTCACTCCCAGTAATGCATGTGTGTGCTCCAGCCAGCCAAGCACTGGCTCTCAGCAGCCTCCCCCCCCCCCCCAGTCACAAATTTTCCTGGCAGAAATGTATGTCCTGTATTTTCCAGCCCTCTCCTGGGCAATACAAGTTTTTACAGGGTCTGTTATTTCTGTAATAGAAGGTTGGTAATCGCACATAACTTGCCATCCCAAATGAAGTTTCCTCAACTTACACATCAACTTAGAACATTTCAAGTTAAACATGCTGGATTAGATAAACAAGTGTATTAACTACAAATAGATTTAAGTAAGCACAAGCAACTAGGACAAAAGCTAGAAATGGCTATAAGAAAGATAAAACACAAGCTGGCTACGTCTACACTGGCATGATTTTCCGGAAATGCTTTTAACGGAAAAGTTTTCTGTTAAAAGCATTTTCGGAAAAGCGCGTCTAGATTGGCAGGATGCTTTTCCGGAAAAGCACTTTTTGCAGAAAAGCGTCCATGGCCAATCTAGACGCACTTTTCCGCAAAAAAGCCCCGATCGTCATTTTCGCGATCGGGGCTTTTTTGCGGAAAACACTACTGTGCTGTCTACACTGGCCCTTTTCCAGAACAGTTTTCCGGAAAAAGACTTTTGCCCGAACGGGAGCAGCATAGTTTTTCCGGAAAAGCACTGATGATTTTACATTAGATCGTCAGTGCTTTTCCGGAAATTCAAGCGGCCAGTATAGACAGCTGGCAAGTTTTTCCAGAAAAGAGGCTGATTTTCCGGAATAACTTGCCAGTGTAGACACAGCCGCGGTGCTTAACTTACCAAACGATTTGTTGTTTTATAAGTTTTTCCAGTTCCAGAATAACTCGGCTCACCCTCTGAAGTTTACCAAACTATGTCAAACCCCAAGCAAAAAAGTTCTCACCCCACAAGCTCTTGCCAGCTTTACTGGCCAGTTTTAAGTCAGGACCTCTCCCTATCCAATGAGTGTTTTCTTGTTGCTTCAGGTGCTGTGAATACCAAGCGGGTTTGTGTTTGTCCCTCCTTTCTATAGTATCCCCTTCTTGAAAAACCATTTTCAGCTGAGATTCAGGAGGCAGAATCAATAGGGAAGGCATTTCCAGGATTCTTTTTCCTTACCTATTACAGCGCTCTTTGTTTCCCATCCTCTTTGCTTATCCTGTTTACTGCTTAAATGCAAATTAAGCAGAGAGCACATTCCTTTTCTTAAGACAGCCCTGTTTGCCAACTTCTGCTTAAGTAGGGCTGTGGTTTGGAACCCGTGTTAACACCACCAGATAATGGAATTTTAGAACGTTGCGTGCAACGTTGTGATTTTAGCAGGATAAAGATAATCAGCAAATTATGAGTTTTTAAACAATACTTCTCAAGGCATACTTTGGACACAGGTTATTACGACAGCATGTAGGGTTACATTTTGTCACACCCTCGTCCCCTTATTCTACTCCCACCCTCATTTCACTATTGCTTCATTCCTTCTCTCTCCTCATTCATTCCATCCCTCTCCACAGCTCCTTCTCATCCCCTGCCTCTCTCTCTCGGTGTGCACAGACATGTGACCCTCTTCCTCTCTTTGCCCCAGGTGCCTCCCATGACAGGACAGATGCTAGGGGACAAGGGTGTGCAGAGTGCCCCATTTCTTCTCAAGTTTATTCTCTCAAGCTATGCAAAAATTAGAAGACAACCCAGATCCTGCTACTGCAGAATCACCAACAGATGACTGGAGCGAAAGGAGATTCTCCATGAACACTGCAGCACCCTAGACACAGATGAGATCTGCTGCCATCCAGCAGCGGGCAGTGATATATCCATTCCCTCCACACACCTGTAGGGCAACTATTATCAAGTCTCTCCACCAGCCGTTCTTAATCTTTTGGCGCTCACAACCCATTGGTCAACTTTTATGTCCTCTCACAACACAGCAAATAGTCTGGGGTGAAGGCCCTGGGGTGGTTTCACCTGCCTGGCACTCACCCCACAGTGGTGGATCCTGCAGCTCCTGTGCCAACTAGACATCCCGCCTGTTGACCCCGACAATCAGCCAGCTTTCTAGCCATCTCATAGTCCTGTCATCCAAGCCAGACTTCTTTAACTTGCTGGCAAAAATACTGTGGAAAACCATATCAAAAGCTTTGCTAAAGTTAAGGAATATCACAGCCACCACTTTTCCCATGTCTACAGAACCAGGTATCTCATCATAGAAGCAATTAGGTTGGTCAGGCTCCACTTGCTCTGGTGAATCCATGTTTGCAGTTCTTGATCACTTCCCTCTCCTCCAAGTGCTTCAGAACAGATTCTTTGAGGATCCCTGCCAGAATTTTTCCAGGGACTGAGGTGTGGCTGATTGGTCTGTAGTTCCACGGATTCTCCTTTTCCCTTTTTTAAAGTTGGGCGTGGCATTTGCCTTTTTCCAGCAATCTAGGACCTCCCCTGATTGCCATGAGTTTTCAAAGATAATGGCCAGTGGCTCTGCAATCACATCAGCCAACTTCCTCCACACCCTGGACACTCATCAATGTCCAGTGTTTCTAAGTAGTCCTGAAGCTGTTCTTTCTCCACTGACAGATGCTCACTTCTGCCCTACATTGTGCTGCCCAGTGCAGCAGTCTGGTAGCCCCCAACCTTCCACCAGCCTTGTTACTCTGGGGGAGGAGGGAAGAGGACAATGAACATCTCTTCCCAGTCCACCAATCTATTGACCCAGAGTTCTTAATGACCAGACACTGATCATTCCCCTCTAGTTAGTCACCCTGGAAGGAGGCGTGAAACCAGCCTCCCCACCCCCACTGGTTATCAGTTCCCTTTGGCATGCACACTGCACACAGTTTACACAGCAGAGACCCATTTGGGATAAAAACAAACAAGGGAGTCATTTAACAAAAGAACCACTGAGTCAAAGATGCAATAGTGAGGAAAGCAAACACATGCCAGCTACACAGCAATAACCAAAGACCCAACCCAGGCGCCACGTTAGGTAAAATTCCCTCTTCTAATCCAAGTTACCTAGTTGAATAGTTCCCCAGCATCCCCCTCCCCACCTACATTTAGCAGGGAGCAGCATTTCACAGACAGCTGTCTGCCAGAGGCTGTCCCTGTTTCCAGATGCCTTTCACTTCAAACCCATTCCAGGTTTTTTGTTTCAGTCACAGGAATTCAGAGTGGGAAAATCCCCTACCGCCTCCATGTCTTTCCATTATCTCTCATGGTCGGTCCACCCTTGTCTCTCCCTGGGTTATGCACATTCTTTGAGTCTGGTTTTGTGCAAATACTTGGCTTGGGAGGTACCTCTCCCTGTCTGATTGCTCGGTCCTACTGCAAGATGGAACCAAAGTTTTATGAGCATCCTTTTTTATATACACAAGTACTTACACCCACAACCATGGCCAGCATATACATCTCACAGTGATGAAGTTGAGAACATTACAAGCTTTCCTAAAAGTCCCTGCTTGATATGTTTTTGTAGTACAACATTGTCAGCATGTAAAATCCTGTTTAAAATGTTAAAATGCTCACAGACCAAGACGATTCACCCAGCTGTCCCTGTTAAAGGGCAATGGGCAAAGACAGAGGAAAGAAGACAAAGTACAATAAGCAAATAGTTTCCATCGATTCATCCAGAAATGGGCGAGAGCCAGGACACACTGGGAGTGCTTTTCCATTATCCAGTGCATCTGACAGTACCAAAACCATTGAGATATTTTTGCCTTTATGAAGTTTACACCTGCCTCAAAAAAACACCATCTTTCTCAACTCACCAAGACAACAATTTTCTCCTGGGTGGGGATTGGAGGGCAGAGGGGGGAAGAGAAATGACAAAATTATCTGGAAGCGATAATGACTTTTGAAAGGGTGCTGCAGGTAGGCAAGACAGCTTGGTCATTCTTACAAGTCACCTTACGGATGGCAAACAGCACTGGACAGGGAACAATCAGGGACCAACAGAGAGTTTGCTCCATAGTCTAAATGAGGACTATTCAGCACAGAAGCCACCCTATCTCTCCTCTTCCTTCAGTTCCGAGGGCTACACTGTCCCCAGACACCTTCCAAAGGCAGCCAGTCACAACCAGAGACGCTGTGGTGGGTACTTACTTTCCTAGAGCCAGTTTTTCCATTCACGGTCTTCAACAGACCGGTCTCCTCCAGTACAATAATCCTTAGATGGATCAAAGTTTTTAAAAGGGAAATTTCACATAATGCTGACTCGCAAAATTCAGATCTACTATCTCTCCCTTTCACTAATCATTAACTACAGCTCAGATTTAACTCTCTTTTCCTACCCTCAGCACTTTTACTGCTATCTTAGTCCTTTCATAGCCTATCCCAAATCAGGTTCATTTAGCCCCAGTACCTTTAGAGAGAATGGGTCACTATTGGCATATTTTTGGCATTTGAAATCATGGTAAGAATTGGAGGCAGGAGGGATTCAGTCCCATTCCATCTCGAGTCAAATGATCCCTCCTCCCAAACACCAATGTTTTCAATTAACAAAGCCAAAGACTTTGTACTGTGTAAGACACATAGTTATTACTGGCCTGGAAGCAGCTCCAGGAAGGCAGCCTGCTGCAAGCCCAGCCAGCCGCGTGAGGGCAGAATCTCCATGGGCCATGAGGAGGGCTGGTCTGCTAGGGTATCTATCACCCCTCTTGCACGTGGATACTATGCTCCAGGAGTAGCACAGCTCCAGGAACTGCCAACATTAGCATGGTCACAGAGTTTCTCCTCAGCTGTAGGAGTAGGATATCATAGCTCGGGCAACAAGGAACTGAAGCAAAGCAGGGGGCTGGCATGTGAGAAGGGTCACAGCAAAGGGATGCTATTTTCCCTCCATTTGTAAACATGGTTGGTGCTGAGGCATGGAGCACAGAAGAGAGGAAGCCGCCCAAGGGCCAGCATTATCTCCTGGCAGGTTCCTGACTGGAAACCCTCTGGCAGTTAATGGTGCTTCCTGCTCTGTGAACTCCCTCCATGTTCTCCCACCAACGTGATGGGAACAGTGCTAGCAACAACAGCAGGAGGAACCGTGCTGATGTGCGGGAGACCCCCAGAAAGCAGAATAAAAGGAAGGCTATTCCAAGCCACAGCTGGGGATCCATGCAGTTGGATTCTGCTTTCTACATCTGTGGAACTCACATTCTGTAGCTTCCTTCTGCTGCCATAACCCCATTTCCCTGGAAGAGAGGCTCCAGATTCCACTTGATGATACAAGCTTTTTGGAGAGGGAAGCGCTGAGGCACAGGCTTCGTTTTTATAGACACACTCATACACGATCCCCTCCTACCCAGACTAAATTCCAAGCCCTAGAATATGATAGATTTCCAACCATTATAAACATTCAATTTATTCTGCTTCTGAAAAATCAACAAGCTCAGCTAGGCCAATAACAAAACTAATTCAAATGTAACTTCTACACTTCCAAGAGGCAAAAAATGCCCCTAACACAAATACAAAATACACAAACTGCTGAAGGAACCGACAAAGGACCACGCACAGCTTGACCTGCTGCTCACAAAACAGGGAGGAACTAGTAGGGACATAGATGTGGGTGGCAACCTGGGCAGCAGTGATCGTGAGATGGCAGATTTCAGGGTCCTGACCAAAGGAAGAAAGGAGAGCAGCAAACTTCAGACAAGCAGACTTTGACTCCCTCAGAGAGCTGATGGGCAGGATCCCCTGGGATGCTAACATGAAGGGGAAGGAGTCCAGGAGAGCTGGCAGGATTTTAAAGAAGCCTTATTGAAGGCACAGGAAGAAACCATCCCGATGCACAGTAAGAAAAGCAAATATGGCAGGCGACCAGACTGACTTACCAGGGAAATCCCTGGTGAACTTCAACACAAAAAGGAAGCTTATAAGAAGTGGAAACATGGACAGATGACTAGAGAGGAGGATAAATATATTGCTCGAGAATGCAGGGGAGTAATCAGGAAGGCGAAAGCACAACTGGAATTGCAGCTAGCAAGGGATGTAAAGAGTAACAAGAAAGGTTTCTACAGGAATGTTAGTGATAAGAGGGTGATCAGAGATGATGTGGGGCCTTTACTGGATGAGGAAGGTAACCTAGTGACAGATGATGTGGGAAAAGCTGAAGTACTCAATGCTTTCTTTGCCTCTGTATTCACAGACAAGGTCAGCTCCCAGACCACTGCACTAGGCAACGCAGTACGGGAAGGAGGTGAGCAGCCTTCGGTGGAGAAAAAACAGGTTAAGAACTATTTAGAAAAGCTAGACATACACAAATCCATGGGGCATCCGAGGGTACTGAGGGGGTTGACAAATGTCACTGCAGAGCCTTTGGTCATTATCTTTGAAAACTTGTGGAGATCAGGAGAGGTCCTGGATGATTGGGAAAGGCAAATGTAGTGCCCATCTTTTAAAAAGGGAAGGAGGACAATCCAGGGAATTACAGACCAGTCAGCCTTACCTCAGTGTCCAGAAAAATCATGGAGGGGATCCTCAAGGAATCCACTTAGAAGCACTTAGAAGAGGGGAAAGTGATCAGAAACAGTCAATATGGATTCACCAAGGGCAAGTCATGCCTGACCAATTTGATTAGCTTCTGTGAGGAGGTAACTGGCTTTGTGGATATGGGAAGTCGGTGGATGTGATATAACTTGACTTTAGCAAACCTTTCAATACAGTCTCCTACAATACTCTTGCCAGCAAATTAAGGAAGTATGGATTGGATACACAGACTGTAAGATGGATAGAAAGCTGGCTAGATCATCAGGCCCAACGGGTAGTGATCAACGGCTCAATGGCAGGTTGGCGGTCGGTTTCTAGCAGAGTGCCCCAAGGATCGGTTCTATCGATTAGTCGATAAAGGGGGAAACTGCAGAGACACAGCGCGGTCCGCCACTGCGCCTCTGCCTTTTAAATGCAGTAACAGCCTGGCCACTCTTACGACATTTAAAAGGCAGCGGCACAGAGGGGGAGGGGGCGTGAGCTGGGACTCAGCTGTCCGGTCCCCAGACACTGCGGCTCTTCCTTTTAAATGTCGTAAGAGCTGCCAGGCTGTTACTGCATTTAAAAGGCAGAGGCACAGCTTCTGGGAGTGAGCTGGGACAGCTGGAGCCCAGCCAGATAAGGGCACATCTCCAGTCTGCACCGTTCTGCCACATGTCTCTCACGCACTTTAGCCCCACACTTCCTAGTCCTTCCCCTCCCTCCTGGCACTATTGGAGTGCTGTGACTCAGCTGTTCAAGTTCTGGGAGGGAGGGAGAGGAGCAGGAACAGGGATGGTGCAGGAATCAGCGGGTTCATGGTGCTCCAGAAGTGCTGAGAGAGAGACGGAGGAGTAGAAAGTGCAGCGCTCCAGTGCCCCAGAGGCACAGGGGAAGAGGGCAGAGTAGTGATGTGTGGGCTGCAGGCTGTGGGTTACAGGCTGCCCACCACTGGCAATCATGTGGCCCACTAGACAAAGGAGGGCCACGATGCTACATCTCGTCTACATCTTTTATTATCCCTCCAACAATGCAGCAAATTGCAGCTTTACATGGACACTGCTCTGATCCATAAGCAAAGCTGCAATGCCCCTTGCTTGGCAAAACCAGCATTGTGCTCCTGCAAACAAGAAACTCTTTTGACACCTTTGTCGCTGCCTGACTCTCCTGCTGCACTTTCACTTCTATCACTGAAACAGTGAGGTCCAGTTAAAAATCATACGCAGAGATTTTCTAAAGGGCAGCTCTAGTTCTCCCCTTACAAATATTATGTTAGTGGAGTAAACAAAAAAGTTTTGCTTAACAGCAATCTCCCCATTCACTCCAGACTAAACCTGTGGGGTTACTCACCATCAGTACCATCCTCCTATCCACTCACCTCACAGGGGGTAGGAGTTAGTCTGTACAGGTAAACTGGGCCAGCACGGGTACATTACGGCTACCTTCCTAGTCACTAGACAACCTGGAGCAGCTCAGATCTCAGAATCATACCCAACCGCTCCCGCCTGGGGTTGTGAGCATCGTTCCACGGGGCTACAGGAGAGCCAGCGCAGCAGGGAGTGGGAGGCAGGGACCGCGCGGCCCAGAAGAGAGGACAGACCCGAGTCAGAACTTTGGTAAATACTTTAAA